AAGGTCTTTTTTATTATATTTATTAAAAAAAAAAAAAATTATGAAATTATGAAATTCTAAGTATAATATCTCACCTATATAATTTACTTTAAGTCTGTCGGAATCTACGCTCAAATGAGAACATTTATCATCAACGTTCCATTCCGTTGGCAAAGCAACGTTTTCGAGTAGATCTTTATCAACATCGTTCCCATCCTTCTCATGCGCCTTGTAATACAATTCTGCATAATTTGTATTGGAAAGATAATCTGGGAGTTTAGTCACTGGAGGATTCGATTTTGTTTGTGGAATTGACGCAGGTCTGTTCAACGGAGACGATGACGAAGTAAGAGGATGGTTGTAATATGTTGTACGTGTCGAAGAACCGGAAGCGTATGATGTCGAGGTGCTGTTTGGGTAAGCATTCGACCACGAAAGAGTTGTACGAGGTTGGCTAGATTGAGCGGACAACATTGCTGAATAATGTGAACCAGACATGTTAGTTGGTGGTGAATAAGGTGAAGTAGACAATATTGCTAAATGTGCTGCAGTTGCACTATTTAGGGCATTAGCTCTCCGAGAGGAGCCAGAATTGGAAGAAGTATTTGTCATTAACAGACACTAGAACGAAACAATCTTGTGAAAGTATACGAAATCTAGTAAATGTCAAGATTAATTAGATAAGTTCTGATATTATGAATTATTGCCATTCTTTGTAGGTTCTCATTTATTGTATCATTAATCGATCATATGCATCGAGTCATCATCACGTGGAATCAATTTTTTTTTTTTAAAAGAAAAATGTACAATACTGACGAAGCTGGTAATCGTGTTTACAACGCTCAAGGTATAAAAACGTATTTAAAATGTATTTAAAATAAGGGGATAATTTTTAAAATCAAACTTTCTACCTAAGAAATCAGTCCTGAAGGGGAGGTTACCAAATCAGACGATAAGACTCGTCATCGAGTAATATTAAAAAAAAGATTCAAGATTTTGTTGACACAATTACCAAGCAAACCAATGTAAAAAAAAAAAGGAAATAACAATAGTAATAATAATAATATTTTTGACACGTAAATGTTTACTGAATTCAATAGTTTATATCAATTTTACACTTATATATATATTTATATATAGATAAATTAAAACTCCGAAACATAACATTATTTAAATAAGAATTAGGAAATTACCTTACCTTTACTGGCCAAAGTACATTCAACAAATGTAACCAAATTGAATTAAATTTGGGATAAAGAAAAATTACTTATCCTGGATCGACATATTAGATA